GTTGGTAAGTGGCTCAATCATCTTATTGATTTTCTGCAATTCAGTAGAAGCATGGCGGCATCCAGTGCGAGTATAGCTATTACAGCGAATTTAATGAATATAAACGAGGCTATCTTGAAACAGTTTTTTTGTGAATGCATCTTAGAAAGGTATAGTTTTAACCCTCGCCGGCACAGGCCATTTTGAGTCCTTCGTCGGCACAAGGGGGGGGGGGCTGGTACGACCCCCCCCCCCCTCGCGTTTGGCCCCTGATCGAGCTAGAGCTTCGCGGAAAAAACGAGCGTGTTGCCCGTCACGAAAGGAAGCCGATGATACCCTATTTTAAGGTCCTAGGTCATCGGGTGACCTTCCAGGTCAGGTCAATGACCCAAAAATCGGGAAAATCGGGACCTGTTAGAAAGTCGTAAAGTGTGGCTGCTATGTGGTTTACCGGGGTGCTGATCACGAATATCGTGTTAGTTTTGATCATAGATGATGTCTTTAAGCATTTAGACCAGGTCGGGTCAGGTCAGGTCAGGTCAACCGGTAGGGGCTGTGACGGGTATTCGTAATACGTGTCAACCACCTCGGACAGCTTCGTAACATGTTACGAAGGCACCAAAACCACTTCGTAAATGTTCAAATGGTTGCTAAATTTGAATTCAGCTCCAAAAACTAGCCTAGAAACATGTAAAACTCGAAAAAGTGAACCGAGGTCACCCGAGGTCACCAAAGGTCAATGACCTGACCTGACCTTCAGGTGACCTTGACACCCACCCTAATGCATGGGAGCAACATCAAATCACATGTTTGAACGTTTGAAACCACGAAAAGCTTGCAAACGCGCGGCTAATGCGAGCCGACATGCGCCGAACCGCGATTTCGGCCAAACATGGTCACAGAAAAGAGGTCACAGGTCAAAGGTCATTGGGGTCAGGGTCATGAAATTTTCAGGGTAGGTGTAAAATTGATCAATGCGAGGGTACTGAAAGTTTCGTCGCGATCGTCCGCTTGTTACGCGAGTTATTCGCGAAAAACCTTAGGGGGGTTGCATCACCCCCCCCTGTGCCGGCGAGGGTTAAGGATTATATGCCATACGCAGGAATCCTATGCAATTAGGAAAAAACAAATCGAAAAAGGGTGAAATGATATGTGCATTTAATGCTCAAAGCAACAAATTAGTGTCTGTCACTTTTGCCGATGTCTGGTACGCATTAGTATATTATTTGATGACAATATTTGATAGATGGCATGACATTGAGCAATCATGGACAATGGACACCGACGAGTGGGAATGGTTAGAAGTTGTGTTGTCCTGATATAGCTCGTATGGCGACAAAACGGTAATCTTACGCCACCACTTCCCTGCGACCGAAACCAAGAAAGAGAACTGCTATGACTTGCAGTAAATGTCCTGAATAGCGTAATATAATCTTCATGGACGCTTCGACCTCGGAAGTAGCTCATGAATATCAAGCGACTGACGCTCATCCGGTAAACATCAACGCTAACTCCATTTTATGTGATCCCAAGTAAAAAATAAATATCCGATTGCAAAGGTTTTACGGGCCACTACCACGGAAATGACTACTACTCTACGTATTCCAAGCATACTACCGACTCATCTCATTGCTATTTTGCTTTAGTTATCTGTACTTTTGTAGGATATCAGGAGTTTTTGCTCTTGCATCTATAATTACTTCTCTATCATACCCATCAACTGTCAAACGTCAATGAATTAACTGTCAAAAATAATTTGAATGTTTACAACGAAAATAATAAGGGTTTAAAAATACTTAATGAACGCAAAGAAAATGGCAATTGAACCAAATACAAATAACTGCGCGATACTCGTTTCATAAGCTTCGTGAAATCATCTTAATTCGTGCTCTGAATGATAAAAGTTGACACAGGCACTATCTTGGGAAAAGACTATCCGCTCATTTCATGTTATGTAGGCTACTTTTTTATAAGCTGTCTGCAAAAGTCACTCCCCTTTCCAGCAATGGTATTGCTATTGTCTCACATAACATGAATGCCATTAAGCGAAATACGAGAGCCTAGCTGGCATGCAGATTGCGTCTCAGTATCGCTAGAGGAGAATCCCTCTGGTCCCGTGTGCCAGAGAGACCCGAGATAACCTGATCTGGCGCGCTGGCATCAGGAATCTCATCAACCGGCCCAGCGCCGCGGCTAAGTCAACAACAGTGGCATTCAAGCGCCGAACTTCGGACCAATCACCATAAAAGGCAGTCGTTTGAATACATCCCTAGCAAAATTGTTTAAATCAAGCACGCTCCAGCGGTCTGATGTATCAGCCCCTCCCCGACCAGCTGGCTGGCAGCCACTGCGAGTCTGTTGTCAGGCTGGACGGTGGACAGAGCCGACTCCCGATCCAATGTCCGGTCGGCCCGAGCTGCTGACGGCTGACGGCCGGTCAACACAGCAACCATCCGCACTACCGTCAGTCGCCTGTCCCACCGAGCGACCCGTCAGCAAACCCTTCCGAGCAAGCGACCCGTCAATAACCCCGCTCTGGGTGAGCCGTAAACAAACCGGCATCGCCCGATTTAATTAAAGCCGTAAGCCACCCGGCCATTTCGTGCTCTCTGATTTGATGACGGCCGGAGAATGAAAAGGAAGGCGAATAGGAGAGGAAAATGGCGCCGAGAAGGGTAAAGGAAGGAAGTGGATGATGAAAGGAAGAAGATAAGGGAAGTAAGCGAGCCTACAACTGGTACGCCATTGGAACACTCTTGATGTTGATCCGTTGATGCAGACATGAATTCAATAAGAGGGAAAAAGGAGAAGAAAGGCAGAAATGAGGAAAAAGAAAAGCAGAATAAAGAGGGATGAGAGGATGAGAAGAAAGATGACGAAAGGGAGAAGAGTGGAGTAGGAGGAAAGTGAGGAAGGGCTGAGGAGAGCGAGGTCGAGGAAGGGCTGAGGAGCAGATTAAGATGCAGAAGACGACGAGGAGTTGTTGTCACTGTGACTGCCCCGGGTCGGTCTCCGCGGCCCGCCGAGCCGCGTATGTAGCCGTGTCGGCCGCTGATGGAGCGCTCCTCGTGCTAACACGGTTAGTAGGGGAGCTGATCCCGTCAGATAGAGATGCCGCCGGCGGTGGCGACACATTGAGGCCAGACGCCAGTTAGTGGGCCCTCTCCGGACCCGAGCTCATCAAGCATTTATGCAAAACCTACTCTAGCAAGCATCAATATAATGAATAACAATGCAATATTGCTGGTATAGGCATATGAAATCGCGTGCCTTCATCCTTCTATTTATTCATTAAGTTCAGGTGTCTTGCTGTTGTTATAATAATTTTCATTCGATACAGATGCCACTGGAACAATCATTAATATCTCGACTACTCTTAGAAATCCGGTGAGTGGGAACAAATAGAAAACAAAAGCTGTCTGTGCGTTCGTTCAAACAAACAGCCCGTATTCAGTACAAAATATTTAAGTGGTCTCTCTACTTCAGGGCACCAGATGCGGTATTTCTCGTAAACGAGCAACCGGGCACATCACTTCTGAAGAGCCACCCATTCCATTTCTGAATAAAGGACCGGTGGGTATGACTTTCCAGCACCCGATCCCGCCACATCTCCTCTCCGACAATCAAGCGGTTTCTGACAGGCGCTGAAATTGTCCCATGTCACCGTCTGAGAGAGCCGCTCGGTGGCTGTTCGGGGCGGTACGCCGTCTCGGTCCTGGGCGACTCTCTTTAGTGGCTGATGGAACAGGGCCGGTTACAGCCGCGTCGCCGGCGGCGCTGCGAACCGATCCCGCTGGCCGATACCGGAGACGGACGGCCGCCGGAGCGGTGTCATTTGCCGGGATGGCCGACATGGTGTCGGCCGGGCCGCCGAAGGTCGCCCGCAGACTGACTGGGCCAGCGGGCCGCCAGCAACCGGAACTCGGCTGCAGTTGCACACGTGAAATGGGCCGCAGACCAGTGTCGGTCTGCTCATCTGTGTTCACGCATAGATGGTGGCCAGTTCTCAGGTAGGTATGCTGCTAAGACATAGCGCAAGGAAATTATTGAAATAATTGAGTAAACATTATATTGACCAAATAAATCGCTCAAAACAAAATTTTGTTACTCGCTCAAAACATACTACGGCAAATATTCGACCTAACAGAATGTCCTACCAACTATTATTGTCGCTCATAGTTCATTAGTTTCACGGTTTCAATGAATGGATCTCTTTGATGAACGTTTCCGAAACATGCAGCTGGTTCATTCGGGCACTTATATTTATCCTACATGCTGATGTAAATGCTATCATTTTGTCCGTTCAACCCATAAACACTCAACACTTTTCATAAATTGGTATCAGATTGCAGTTTTCCTTGAACTGTCTTCGATTGCTCAGGTGAGCTAGCTCGAAACATCCGACATTACTCTGCTCTTCGTCGGTTTCTCTCTTCAGAATGATCATTCCTCTCGGCTCTCACTCCCCGATCTGTGTCACAAACTTCATATGGTCTTCCCCGAAATCACGCGCATTGACAGGTGCCCCAAAAGGGAGCTATTAAAAGCAGATCTCTCTCAGCTGGGTTGAGCACGAATCTCGGAAATCGTGGTGCGTTCCTAGAATCGGGCTGAGTGCAGATGGGTTTCCGTCGCCCCGTGACAGCGTTTGATGCCGGTAGGGGTTTCCCAGCCGCCAATGGGCAGTCATCTATCACTGTCAGCCGACCCTCTTTGTTCGACGGCCGCCGGAGAAAAGCTGTTCTCTGCGCTAAAATAACGCCTCTCATCGGCCAAAAACGTTTGCTACCTCCCACGAAAAACGAAGTGACACCACCCAAAGCCATACCGAGATTGGGGACAGTTCCGGTATCGCGCCGCGCTCCAATTTCTGTGAGACCCAGTGACCAAAAAATGAATCGAGGTCAGTGGGTGACGCGGGACGGTGGCCGTGCGTACTCCACACAGGCGTGCTCTGCTTCCTGAAGTGCAGCCGAACCGCCCCTGCCGGAGCCCACGGCCAGTCGCTGCAGTCTGCTCACCTTTTGGAAGACAGAGGAGGACGCAGCAGAAGAGGGCGCCGAGATGGGATGTGGCCGGCGTCTCAGACATGGTGTGCACTAGCTGCTCGCCATGCTGGCTGGCGGAGGCGGCCCGGCCGACTGCCGCTGCACGTCCGATCGATGTGCGAGAGCGGCGGAGGGGGCGCAGGCGCCGCGCGGCCAGCCTCCGGCCGCCGCCGACCGCCGGCGCCGCTAACTCGGCCCAAATATGACGGCTGCAGGCCGTATTTCGCCGGCCATTCGCGGCCGATGGGACGGCGCCGGCCGCCGCCACCGACCCGGACAGAGGTGCAGCTGCAGACGGCTCGAGCTCTGCCAGGCCGACCGTGAGCCGACCGCACCGGTCCGCTGCACGGGCCGCCGCCGCCGGCCTCCGAAACGGCAATAAAAACGGCCAACAAATAGCGCCGCAGCTGATCGCCAAACGCAGTTATCGGGATGGCAGTCACAACATAGCCACAGCATTGATCGCTGAATATCAAAAGCCTAAGAGCTGATAAATCTGGTTACTGAAAAGGCCCATCAAGTGATCAGCAGAATAAAAAGTAAAATGGCCCGGAGGCTTACAAAAGGACTGGGCGACAGGTGACATAAGAAACTACAAGACAAGTGGATCAGCAGCGGGAAGGGTTTTAATGGAAAATGGTTAACAACGGTAAATCGTGAAATCTGATAACTTTTATCTCAGTAACTTCTCATCACTTCAATAACTTCTCGTGTAAGTAACCCGTAAGCCATGCGTCTAACAGTGTCGAGTTTTCAGCTGGAGGCTACATCATACACATAATATACAGAACTGATCATTTGAAAACTGCTTCAAACTGCGCTGAGCCTGGTTTGATAGCAATACTGGCTCAACGACACAGGAGATGAGAAAATGGCGGACAAAGACACCGACAAAGACAGCACGGGTGGAGATAAAAGTCAGTGACGCGTCTGGGTAAAAAGGTCAGATGAAAGTCACCTCTGCAGCAGCGGTGACACCCATCCATCCGGCTGCAGGAATGCTGTCGTCGGAACTGTAGAGCCGTGGTGGATCCATGTAGCTGCCGACAGAGCAGTTAAAGGTAGTGTGCCACCTTTGAAAAATTTCCCATTTTATTTTTCCTAGGATAAGAAGCTTCTGTTTTTACCTAATATCGCAAAAAAAATCAAAACTGGGCCTGGAATAGTGCCTTTTTCGCCAAAAAGTTTTTCGGTTTTTAGATATGTATAACAACTGTAGTGGGCTCACCTGCAAACAGGCGTCGGGCAACAATCGCGAATGCGGCGCACTTGTGACAATAAGCAAAGGTCATTATAGTGTTACGACCATACGACGTACGGGAATGAGTTATCAGCTGTCTAATCGTAGACAACACAATGTCGAGCCTTAAACTGTAAGCCCGTATTGGTATTGTTTCTTTTATTTGGCTGTCGAACATTATTTATGGTTTGAAATATGATTTTATGTAAAATAATTGATATGAAAAAGCCGTCTTATAAGTTATGACCCCATTTCACCACACGCAAGTGGCAGAAATGACAATGATCAGCTGACGCATTTTTCTTGGCCGAAGTCAGAGCGCGCGGCCCGACGCACCACGCGTATTTGGAAATTCCGACCTCGACGAGCATCAGAAGCCACCTAACAGGCGTGTTCGAAACCGCAGGAGATGATGATGAACGGGTTTATCGAAACTTGATTGGATGAGCATATCGGTAATAGCGATTTCAGTGTGTGCATTTATTGTTCATAGTGGTGTGAAATGTGGTTGGGGTACGACCGACAACCCGTCGGGGCGAATTTCGCACTGGGGTACTCAAAATTTGAAGAATTTAAGACGTTTCCATGAGTTTTGAAGGTATGGATAAGTTCTAAAAATCCGGTTCTCCTTATCTGGGCCATTAACTCCATACGGTCCAAGAAAGCTGGCACACTACCTTTAATGCGCTGCCGCGAGAACAAGTGTAAAAATACTTCGAGTGAGGTGAGTTTTAGAATTTATTTTTGTCTGAAGAGTGTAGGCGAATAAAAATCAGATTAATGTAGGCTTTTGTTTAAAGCATTCAAACGAGACAAAGTATTCACGCTATAATCCTCAGCTTAGATAACAACTCGTGCACATATCTAAAAGCGGATAACTCTAAGCCCCGTTGCAAAAAAAAAAACGGGGATCGCATCATCACCAAATAAGAAGGGGCTGCGGCTTATGTTTGCCGAGACAACATAACATTTTTCTTTATAGGTTTCATATTACATATGCGCTTAAAAGATGCTTCAATAGGCTTAGATTAACTGAAATGTTTAAATGAAATTAAATAATCGTAGCCTCTTAATTACGTGCATTCTTCAAACATGATGCTCACAAAACGAGACAGTGTTTTCAGGCCATATTACTGCGGACCTGTAAACCAAAATCTGTTTCATATAGGTATACGTAGCTTTTTATGGCCAGCCGACGAGCAGTTCGCACGGGCAAAAGTCAGGATATCTTAGCAATCTACAGTGGCAGGGCGAGCGGTAGGGCGCGCAGCTGGATTTCTGGAGCTGCTTTACGACAGTGTTCGCCACGGGCCCCAAAATCCCCAGCCCAGCCCGGCCCGGGCCCATGGGTTCAGAGCCCGGCCCAGCCCGTAGCCCGCTCTTGGCAAATATTCCAAGCCCAGCCCGGCCCGGCCCGTCAAAAATAGCAATCTAGTTATTGTCTTAGTCTATTGCTATAATAAGCATGATTGATTACACTATTTTGAGAACAATTCAAACTGCATGAATATTAACATGGCAATCATGACTCACTTCTTTTCAATGAATAAAATCATTTCAAGCACCTATGGCACAAATTTTAACAGTAACAGCAAGCACCTCAGTCAATTAGGTCATGATTACACACCTATAAAAAGTTTACATGATTATATTAACTACATTCTATGAGTAAAGTTATCTTGCAAGCTGATGTGTGTGAACATTATCATTCATAATTGGTGACTCTAATGCATACTTGAAGGAAGTATTTGCAACATACTCTATGCTTCCCAGCACTTACCAGCAGAAAAAAAGCTTGACTTATGGGAATTGATGAATTTGTCTGGGATTGACCTTGCTGTTAAATTCACTCCATAGATGCTGCAATATCAAAAGCCTGAGAAAGCATACAAAATAGGTGACACTCACTTTAGCACTGTCTTCCAAAAAAAAGAGAAAATCCATCCATTTATCAGCAAAACTGATTTAATCTATTTTCAATTCATGCCCACGTGTCAACCGAATCTCTGTGGACAACTATCTGCTACTTTCCTTTTGCTATTTTATGTTAGGCTCTTTTCAAGATATGGATATCGCTAGCAGCGTAAGCAGAAAACATGGTAAGCTTGAAATGTCATTGGGTACTTTTGCGACTTTTACGCATCATCATCATCAATCGAAAATGAGCGAACACTTCTTGATTGTCGCAGCTACGGCAGGTAGCGATCCTGACCAACTGTATAATAAAACATATATGATCAAGTTTTTGTTTTGTTTTTCGTTCGATTTTTCAGACTTCGTGATTTAGGTTTTATTTTTATTTGTTTTATTTTGTTTTTCACCTTGATTCTTACTTAAAAAACGTATTTATTTGATATACTGTTGTGTATACTACCTAGATGCCGCCACATAAACATAGCGCCGCCGCCATGATTGCAAGGTCCTAGGGCCTTGGATTGCAAGTTTTGTTGAGAAGGCGGTGGTTTGTTGTGATTTATTTTGACAAATTTATAAACATTTAAAGAAGCTTTCATCGCGAAATACTCTGTAGAGTTCCTCGTTACGTACAGTGTGTTTTGTGAGTATCCTTTTAAGGTTCTGTTCGTTAAAAAGCCGTCGGTGAAGGAAAAAAGACTGTGTTGGAATTGTCTCACTATCGCCATATATGTGTTAAACTTAATGTAGCCCTGTAGCCCATCATTGTTGAGTGGCTTCTTAGTTTTTGGAGTTTTAGTGCTAAGTAAGTTATTCTGATGACTACATTTTAACTTTTATTAACAAACTAATGATGCTAGAGATTCTCTGATCTTTTTGGTTGCGGAATTTGTATGAAAACCCTCCTATGTGTGACATGATGTGATATTGGATAATTCTCAAGATTCCCAAAATTCAATATCAAGTAGGTTTTCTTTCACATTGCTTAAATTTGGTTTAGTTTTTGTATTTTCCCAGTGGGTTTTGTTTGCATCAGTTTCCAAATTTTCTTAAATTGACATTAGTCGCAAAACCCATAGTGCACAAAGCTCTTGGCCCGGCCCGTCCATAGCCCGTTAACTAATGATATTTGGGGGCCCGGCCCAGCCCGTAGCCCAGCCCGGCCCATGGCCCGTTGGGCTGGCCCGGCCCGTGGCGAACACTGCTTTACGAGAGTCAGCATGACAAATTGTCCCATTTAGAGCGATTCGCATTCATCCGGCGTTCGATATTAGTCCGATATGCATCTGCCGCTGCGCGAAAAACACGAGGCCGAGTTTTTATCTGATATTTCCGGCGAATTGAAAACAAACAGTCCGGGCCGATGTGCATATTTCCGCTCGGCTGCGTGCGCTGAAACGCTGACTGCTGGCAGAGCTATCGCGGCGGCTGCCGTCCGATACCTCGGCAGAGCGTCTTGTAGACTCTGTAAGCTCGACGGCCGGCTCAGCGGCGGGTCAGCATAGACTCGTGGTGCAGTGAAGGATCAGACAGAGATAAAAGGAGGTCTATAGTATGCTCTGCGTTTCAGTTGGTGTAAGAAACTAATGCTGCGCAGCGCAGAGAGTAGCGCTGGACACTCGGACGGCAGGCATTGTCACATAGAATGTGAAGACACGCTATAGCCTTCTGTCCCGGGCCCAGTAATCAAATAACACTGGAGGTGATTTGTTCCCGATCCGAGTAGATTGGATGTCGCAGGTGCCGGCCGAGCCGACCAATGAGTCTCTTTCGGCGCTCCTATCGGCTTGTATATACAACGCCTCACACAAAGGCAGAAGGTGAGGAGCGAGCCAGACCGATCATTGGCACCAGGCTGTGTTTGCCGTGGTCTCCGGCGAAAGGAATTGATGCAAATGACCGGATATTGTGCGGTGAGTCGATGGGCCGCCTGT